TTAATAATAAAAAACCAAATCTTTATAATGCAGGACAACGAAAAAATTCCCATCCTTATCGAAAATTTCAAACTGGCTCAACTACTACCTTTTCCGGTTATACCAATATATCCAACTATAATCATAATACTATTACTTCTACTAGTAGTAATAATAATAATTATCATCAACAACAACAAAAACATTGTTATAACAATAATAATAATATTACTCATTTAAAATCTTTAAATAGTAAAAAAATACCTTGTCTTATGTCTGTTGATTTTTTTCAACAACCACCAAGAAAAAATCGTCGTAAAATACAGCATGCTGAACAATATAAACAACAAACATTATTACATCAGTACGAGATAATGAAACAACATAATATTAATAATAATAATAATAATAATAATAATAATAATAATAATAATAACACGAATACAAACCAATATAGAACATCAACATTAAAAAAGTTAAAAGGTTTAATTTTATCGGATTCAATGTGTAAGTATGTGCGATCAGAGAAGGTAAGTTCCGATGATATACAGGTAAAAATATCCTTTGAATCTGGCTGTGATTGCAGCAGAATGTTAACATTTTTAAAACAACAAAAATTTGATCGAAGTAGTATATTCCAAGCTGATTTTGTTCTTTTCTCTCTATGTACAAATGATGTTGCTAATTTAGGTCCTGAACTTGCTATAAAAAATTGTCGTATTTTGATAGAACGTGTACGACAATTATTTCCTCATTTGAAATCAATTGGATGGTTAGCACTTTCACCGCGATCAAAACCATCTAAATTATTCAATTCTATAACTATTAATGAGAATTATCAGAAATTTAACCAATATCTTAATAAATTATCAAAAGAAAAAAATTTCGAAATAATTAATGCTAATCTCCAACATCACCACATGCATTATGATGGTTTACATCCGTCAATAGATTCCGGGTGTGTTCTGATCGAAAAAGCACTTTATAATTGGTTTGTAAAACAGACGAAACATTTTTCTATTACATCACATCATCATCCTACTATTATTGCCGATCAGACTACAACTGCTCGTAATAATAATAATTATCATCATCATAAACATACAGCTACTAATCATAATCATTATAATCATGCTACTACAACTACTAATATTTATCATCATCATAATTCTACTACTACTACTACTACTAATAATAATAATAATAATAATAACCATGCTATTAATAATAAGAATTCTTACAAAAAGAACAATACATTAAAAAAAGAAGATTTAAATAACTTATCAAGTAAGCCATTAATACCACATTATCCACATTTTCTACGACATAAAGATGAGTTCTTTCGGAAA